CGGAACCAGGGTGGGAGAAGTTTCACTGCCTGAGGCCACCGTGCTGTGCAGAAACCAAATCAGCTCCCGCAGGGAGACCTCCTGGAGAGGCCTGGACTGCTCCAGCTCTTACCACAAAAGCGACCCCAAGGCTGAACCACCCAGATGAACCCTCCTCACACTCCTGACCCACAAAAACCGTGAAAGATGATGGAATGGTAGCCTCTAGTGTGGTCTGTTCACCGTCTTGTAACCAGAACAGAGCGGTCTCGATTTGTTCCCGCCACTATATTAGGGGTGACTTAAGCCACAAACATTCATTTCCCAGTTTGGCTGGCTGCAAAGTCCAAGATGAAGGTGCCAGCAGATTCACCTGCTGCCAGGTGAGGGCCTGCTTCCTGATTGGCAGACAGCCCTCTTCTGCGGGTAGCCTCTGAGTCAGGCAGCAGAGGGAGAAGCAGGCTCGGCCTGTCTCCTCAGCAGGGGCTCCAATGACTCTCAAAGAGCCCACTTCCAAATGTCACCATGTTAGGACTTCAGTCCATAGCAGAGGGGTGCCTGGGTTCTGACCCAAGTTCCCTTCCTTTGGTTTCCCTGCAGTTCATTTTACCCCCCTGATCAGATCACATTCCTTTCCTCTTTTTTTTTTAAATATTTTTTTAGTTGTACATGGACACAATACCTTTATTTTATGTGTTTATTTTTATGTGGTGCTGAGGATCAAACCCAGGGCCTCCCACATGCCAGGCAAGCGCTCTACCACTGAGATTCAGCCTCAGCCCACATTCCACCCTCTTGACAACCTTCCATGGCTCCACAGTACCCTCAGATTGTAGTCCAAATTTTTTCCCTCCAGGGCTTGAAACCCACAGTCTCACTTCTGCCTGCATCTACAGTCCAGCGTGCACACACACACACACACACACACAATGAGTAAGTCCTTCAGTACAAAGCTTTTAAACACATAATGAACATCAAATGTTGCAACTATTATTAGTTTGTGTTCAGTAAATATTTATTGAGCTGTCTATTCCATGCCAAGCACTATGGGAGGCTCAGAGATACTGTAGTGAACAAGAAAGATGTGGTCCTATCCTTGAAGGGCTCATTCATTCCCGTTCCCCTGTCCCAAGGCACACAGAGAGACAATGCATGCTCAAGACATCAAGGCATGTTCCTGCAATGGTGTCTGATGAAGTTCAGGCAGGTACCATGACTGTCCCAAGACCACACACCAAATGTGGGACTTTCCCAAGACCACACAGCAAATGCTTGAGCACATAACAAGGCCTGAAGCTGATGCAGCTGTCTGGGAGGTGGCAGCTGGCACACACTGCCCAGGGCAGAACCAAGTCGGATGGGGAGGGAGGGCGGGGCTCCCTGCCTTACTGGCTCCTTCCGGAGCGGATAGGGCAAATGGCCTCTCTCCAAACACCTCCTCCCCACCTCTAGCTCCTCTAGGCGGGATGGAGCTCCAGCTCCATCCAAGTCAGAGGGACTGATCCTTAGCCGGGGGTGGAGACTCAAAGAGGAAGAGGCCAAGCACAGGGGCACTGTCTGTAATCCCAGCAACTCCAAGGCTGGGGGAGAAAAACGCAACTTCAAGACCAGCCTGGGCAATTTAGGGAGAACCTGCCTCAAAGCAAAAAGTGAAAAAGGCTGGGGATGTGGCTTTAGCGGTTATGCGTCCCTGGGTTCAATCCCAAGTACCAAAAAATAAACAAATAATTAAAAAATAAAAAAGGATGGGAGTGTATGCAGAGCAGCGGTAGGGTACCCCCGGGTTCAATGCCCAGGAGCGGGGGCGGGTTGGGGAGAATGGAAGGAACCCACGGGATTCCACGAGAGGTGAGGACTCCTGAGAGATCAGGGACTCGGGTGCCCCTGGGAAGGAGGTGCCCAGGGAGAGAGGCGGGGCTCTAGGAGGGAGCGCGCTGAGATGGGAGGGGGGAAGGAAGTGGGTTCAGCCAGGAGATGCAGGTTTCTCCACTCCGGTGGGGAGCTTCACGAGAGGGGTGGAGACCCAGAGGAGGCACTGAAGAGATGGAGACTCAGTGATGGGTCTTCAGTGAGAGGAGTGGGCAGCTGAGGAGTGATGAGAGCTCAGATGAGGAGTTCGAGGGACCGCAGGAGGGGCCGAGGTCCAGGCAGGCGGTGGGCTCTGCAGAAGGAGCCTGGGGTCTGAGGGAGAAGGGAACTGGGAAGGGTTCAGGGCTTCGGGGAGCTTCCAGCAGCCGCAATCTGCAGACCCAGCCCCTAGGGCGGGCCGGCGCCCCCCTCCTCTTTCTGCCCCCGTACCGCCCCCCCGCCCCCAGCCCCGGACTGCGGCGGCGCACGCGCGGACCAGACCCGCTTTGGCTCTGCTGGTCTCCAGCTCCTGTTGGCTCGGCGGAGACTGCTGGTGGATAGGTGAGCTCAGCCCCTGCTCCACTAGCACCGACCCCTATCCGGCCGTCTCCCGGGTTCCAGAGAACCTCACCCTCTAACCGCATCCTCAGCCCGGCCGCGTCTGGCTGGGTAGGACCGACATCTGCGCCCTGGTCTTGAGCTTCGGGAGGTGGGGGGTCCCAGGGAAGTATCAGGGGGCAGACGGCAGGAGCTTCATCACGCCCCCACACCCCAGGGTCGGTAGCTGGGCGGAGGCTTCAACGGCCAAGATCGCCCCCCAACCTCCCTCCAAAAACCCATTCCTAATCCATTCTGCCTCAGTTTCCCTCTAAGGGAAAGGACGCAGCTAATTTCACCCAGGGGAAGGGTGGTCGAGTCCGAAAGAGCGATGCTGGGGGCGGGGGGCTGATTTCCCCAGCCATCCCTCCAGGAGGGTGCCCCTTCTGACCGCCGGGGCAGCGTAGGGTGCTGGAGTGGGCGGGTCTGGGGGGTCTGGGAAGGGGAACTGAATAGGGCCATCAAGATGCGACAGATTCCATCCATCTTCAGGCCCTCAGACTTGTCACCTCCGTGTACGTTTCCCTTCCCTCGCCTCCTCCACCGCAGTCTCCCCACCCTCGCCCTCGGCCAACGCAGCCCCCTCCTCTTCCCGCGGCGTTCCCACCAATTCCTCCCCGCTGCTGGCTGGGGACACCTCCCTAGCGGTTCCCATGGCAACCCCCGAGGATCCTCAGCCTCCTTTCCCTCCCAGCCCTCCCTCTCCAGCTAGACCTCCTCCTCGCAAGCCTAAAATGGGAGGGGGAGGGACCAGCGGAGGGGAGGCACCGTCAAGGTCACCTTCCTTCTCTAGTATCTACAGGACTGAGTGATTGTATAGATTTGGGGGCGGGGGGAGCCGTGAATTAAAGGGAGGAGCTAACCCAGGCCCACATTCCTCGATCCCCTCCCCGCCCCCTCACGTGGGGTCTTCAATTAAAAGTCCCTGTTCTGAGGCCCTAACTGCCTCGGGGCCCCATTCATTCTCCCTACTCCGGCCTCCCTAGCGGGGGCGGTCACCCTGTTGGCCACGCCCTCGCCGAGCCCCGCCCCCTCGCCAGATCCCTGCTTTCCATCCAGACTTCTCGCCCTTTCCTTCTTCTGTTGCTTTTCGGCTTTTGGTCTCTGCCATTTCTCATTCTCTGTTACTTTATTTTTTTTTCCTTTTTCCCCCTCTTTCTTCACCTGAATTGTAACTGAGGAAGTTTGACAGCCGCGATCTATGGACAGGCAATCTTGGCCGCAAACCCTCGCTCTGTGTGGCTCCGCGGGGTCCTGAGGAAGCGCCCCTGTGTGTGTGTCTGCGTGTGTCTATAACGTGTGTGTCCACGTGCGTCTGTGTGGTCGTCTCCGTGCCCGTCTGGGCCTCGGTGTGGTGTCCTGGTGGTTTGTGCGTGTGCAGATTTCTCTGTGCTGTGTGTGTATATGAAAGTGCTGGTGAGTCTCCACGCAGGGACTGGAGGGTCACATCTGATTGGAAGTGAGGGGGCCCTGGATTGGTCTACCCGTCTTTGGTTTGAAGCTGCTCTGAAGACCCTGGTGGGGGTGGGAGGACAGAAGGCTGCACCTGCAGGCTCCAGTTTTAGCCTTACCTGTGCTCACACAACTTCCAGGAGGCCCTAGGTTCAATTCCCCCGCAACCAGCCTGGGGCACCTTCCCCTCCTGACACCTGTGTTCCCTTCTGTGAAAAATAAAGGTTCTTAAATAGGGTTCTCTGGAAATCAGCAGCCCTTAATCCTAAGAGCCCCTAATCCTGAGGGCCCCGAGTTCCCCTCCGGTGAAGCCGAAACTCCGCGGAAGTTGGAGGCTGTGTAGAGGCAGCCCTGGGAGAAAACTTGTAGCTTGGAGACTCCGGGCCCCACTGGACAAGTGTTGGCCATGACAGTTGCCCCTCCGAGGGGCCCAGAAGAGGGGATGAGATTTGGAAGAGAGGGAGATAAGGATCTCTCACTCCAGACACTGAGCCCCAGAAGTTCAGGATGGACGTAATAACAAAGAAATCCTAGTCATAATCATAACAGCTACCTTTACAGCACCAGACACGATAACTAAGTGAAACAGGTATCATTGTTAGCTCTATTTTACAAATGAGGAACCCAAGGCTCAGAGAGGTTAAAGCACTTGTCTAAGGTCACACAGTGAGGTAGTGGTGGGTCTGGGGTTGTAGTCCAAGTAGTCGGGCACATGGATGGACACCTGCACTGCAGGGCCCCAGGCTAAGCGCTTCTGTCATTTGTTCCTTCATAGATACTTAGGGAACACCAGCTAGGATTCCAGAGGCCCGGCCATGCTAGAGGTGAGGTGTGGAGAGCAGGAGGATGGCTGAGCTCAGCTATTCAGGAGGCGGAGGCAGGAGGATCCCAAGTTCAGGCCCAGCCTGGGTAACTTAGTGAGAGCTTGGCTCAAGATAAAAAAATAAAAAGGGCGGGGGATGTAGCTCAGTGGTAAAGGGCCCCTGGGTCCCATCTCCAGTACAAAAAAAAAAAAAGTGGGAGAAGTGTGTGAGATACAAGGTTGCAAAGTAGGAGGGCTACCATGGGCAGCTCCCACTGACCCTGTCTCTGTCAGCTGCCCCTTGCCTGCCCCACAGGGATCCATGATGCTGAGCTGCGGTCGTCCCTGCACCTGTGGCCATGGCACCGGTGTGGAGGAAAGCAAGTGGTATGGGGTGCGCTCCTACCTGCACCTCTTCTATGAGGACTGTGCGGGTACTGCCCTCAGTGATGACCCTGAAGGGCCACCTGTCCTGTGTCCCCGCCGACCCTGGCCCTCATTATGCTGGAAGGTAAGGGAACAGGAGCAACTCCTGTGATTCCTGTGGCTACATGGGGGAGGTGGGATTGGATTTGAGGTTCAGAGAATAGAAGTCAAAGGAACCGTGGAGAGTTAGGGTCTTGCACATTCAAGCAACAGGAAACCCAAGTGATAGCCAGGCGCAGGGGGCCACGCCTGTATCCCCAGCGACTCTGGACACTGAGGCAGGAGGATTGCAAGTTTCAGACCAGCCTGGGCAACTTAGCACTATCCTGTCACAAAAAACAAAAAGGGCTGGGATGTAGCTCAGTGCTAGAGTGCCCCTGAGTTCAATCCCCATTACTGGGAAGGGGGACCTCAAATAGGTTTGAACAGTAAAGTGTGCTCATTGCTCATTTTGTAGAAGACATCGGAGGTTGGGTGCCTCTGGACAAAGTCTGATGCGGGAGTTCAAACCATCAATCATGTGGAGGATTTTGCATTTTGTCTTAGTCTTTGGGCTCCCGGTGGTGTCCCTCTCTATAGCCCATGAGTTTTTGGCTTTCTCCACATGTCCCCCAAATAACTACTATTGTGCTGGCCTCAGACCTTTAAGGAAAGTCAGAGTCTCCTCTGTATTTCCTTCATAAAAGAAACAGTGAAACCAGCCAGAAGTTAAAAATGCAGCTGGGCATGGTGGCACATGCCTGTAATCCCAGAGGCTCAGGAGACTGAGGCACGAGGATGGAAAGTTCAAGGTCAGCCTCAGCAATTTAGTGAGGTCCTAAGCAACTTAGAGAGATCCTATCTCTAAATAAAATATACAAAGGGGGCTGGGGTTGTGGCTCAGTGGTAGAGCCCTTACCTAGCATGCATGAGGCACTGGGTTCCATCCTCAGCACACATAAAAATAAAACAAAGATCTATGTCCACCTAAAACTAAAAAATAAATATTTTTAAAAGGGGGGGGGCCTGAGGATGTGGCTCAATGGTTGAGTGCCCCTGGGTTCAATCCATGGTAACAACAACAACAACAACAACAACAAAGCATTACTGTCAGGTGTAGTGGTGCACACCTATAATCCCAGAGACTCTGGAGGCTGAGGCAGGAGGATTGCAAGTTTGAAGCCAGGCTGGGCCACTTAGCCAATACTCTGTCTCAAAAAAAAAAAAAAAAAAAAGCTAGGGATGTCACTCAGTGGTTGAATGCTCTTGGGTTCAATTCCAATATGGAAAAAAGATTACCATTTACATTAGTATGGGGAGTGGGGAGAAATAGGAATATAGGTGTAAATATGACAAAGTATGTATAATATGAGGAAAACTACAAAACCTTATGAAAAATATCAAAGAACTGGCCAGCCATGGTGATAAGTGTGTGTAATTCCAGAGACTTTGGAGGCTGAGGCCAGCCTCTGCAACTTAGTGAGACCCTGTCTCAAAATTAAAAAAAGGGCTGGGGATTTAATTTAGCAAAATACCCCCGGTATGTATGTATGTATCTCTCTCTCTCTCTCTCTCTCTCTCTCTCTCTCTCTCTCTCTCACACACACACACACACACACACACCATGGAAGAACTAATAAGCATCCTGATTGTTTTCCCCGAGTAAGGGAGGTTTTAGATGAGATCTGAGGATGCGTAGGTGTTAACCTAACAGAGAGACAGAGCAGAAAGGACAAGGTGATAAAAGGGGACCTGAATAATGATGGAGGGGACTCAGGATTGGTCAGAGAAAATCACTGCTAGCTGGGAGTTGGGAAGGCGATTGATCTGAGGCCTCAAGATTCCAAACGGAGCTGCTCCTGTCCGTCAGAGCCCAGCAGGTATGTTCTGTGATCCCGCCTCTTGAGGTTGGATCATGGAATCACTATTAAATCCAGGGGAGCCAAGGCGATCCTGGCCCCCAGGGACCCTGACGATCTCCTCGTCTGTCTGCCTCTCCAGATCAGCCTGTCCTCAGGGACTCTGCTCCTGCTGCTGGGGGTGGCAGCCCTGACCACTGGCTACGCAGTGCCCCCCAAGCTGGAGAGCATCAGCGATGGTAAGTTCCCATCGTTGGATCAGCGGGCAGCAGACTACAACCAGGCCCTGGGCACCTGCCGCCTGGCCGGCACAGCACTGTGTGTGGCGGCCGGGGTCCTGCTGGCCATCTGCCTCTTCTGGGCCATGACGGGTTGGCTGAGCCAGGACACCAAGGCAGAGCCCTTGGACACCGAAGCTGACCACCACGTGGAAGTCTTCAGGGACGAGCCAGAGCCCCGGCTGTCCCCCATCTTCCGTGATGCCAGCGGTCAGTCGTGGTTCTCGACCCCCACCAGCCCCTTTGGGCAATCTTCTGTGCAGACCATCCAGCCCAAGCGGGACTCTTGAGCTGCCCGTGTGGAAGCTCAGGGAGGAGCAGACCCTTCATCCAGACCCAGTGCACCTCGCCTTCCCAGGCCCCCAACGTCCCCTTTCAGCAGGGCCGCTCTATCCAAGCCCCAGAAGGCCCAGCTCGAGGTCACCTGGAGCCCAGATCCCACACTCCTTCCCCAGGAGACGGGTCCCAACTCATCCAGATGCCACCCCTTCTCAGACCTCCCAGACGACCCCCACCCCTCCTTCCCAAGACCCCTCAGGGGCCGAGAACCTTGCCCTCAGCCTGTCCCCGCTCTTTCCCCCGTGGCCGGGGCTAGCTGCTTGTGCTTTCAGACCATCAACACTTGCCTCTGGACCTGGAGGGGCTTGGGCCAGATTCTAGAGTTCTGTGACAGTCCCATTCCCCCCAGGATGTGAGCACTGCCCTCCCCAGACTAAGGCCAGGGGACGGGGAGGGGCGTCCTCCTGGCCAGGTTGCTGGCTTGGACTTGCCTTCCAGAATGAGGTGAAGACACACCTCGCACACCTTGTCTTCACCCACATTTTGGCATCAGAGCCCCACAGTCCACCCCCACTTCACAGAAGAGGTGGCTGTGGGAGGCAGAGAGGTGATCTGTCAAGCAGAACCAGCCTTTTCAGACTTCTCTCGGGCCAGCTGTGGGCCAGCTGTGGTTCTGCAGCTGGAGCAGTCTCACACCTTCCTGGTTCCCAGGGGATTCCCAGGATGGTGGACAGGTTTGGCCCAGAGCGACTAGCCAGCGGCCTGATGGTTCTAGATGGCTCCGAAATTATTTTGGACATGGATTTAAATGCCCCTCAAAGTCCGCCCCCCAGACCCCAATGCCCACTGGCTCTGGCCCTGACCTTGACCCTGATAGCAAATGTCCCTCCCTGGAGGCACAGCCCCTCCCTCCTACAGGATCCTCAGCCAGAGGTGTCATCTCCTTTCTCTGCCACTAGGGGGGGCGCCGAGACCGCTGGAGGACGTCCTCCGCCCCTAGTCCCGGAAGGCTTCCGGGGAGGGTCCCCAGGCCTCCGCCCGGTCCTGCACCCATTCCATCTCACCTTCCCCTTCAATAAACAGCTGGGATGGACACTGACTTTGCTTCTGTTCTCCGGGATCACCGGGTCGTGGGGGATCAGGAGCGCCTACTGTGTGCGGGAGCTCACGTCCACTGTTTCTCTTGCTCCTCAGGATAACCCTGGAGAAAGGGGTCGTTTTCTTCCTTTTCCAGGTACAATCACCAGTGGTCAGAGGGATGAAATTGTCCTCCCAGGCCTTCCCAAGGGAGATTTAAATGCCAGGCTGGAACCTCGCCGACTCCGGAGGCTGAGGCAGGAGGATGAAGTTCACGGCCAGCTTCAGCAATTTAGGGCTGGGGTGTAGCTCAGTGGCCCAGAGCCTCGGGGTTCAATCCCCAGCACCCCCCGCACCCCCACCCTGCAATAACGAAGCTAGCCCTGGCCCATCCCTGGAGGGTAGAGCTCCCAGTCCTGAGGAGGAAGGAAATTTGTCATCCCCCTAGGGGGATGCGGGGGAGGGGCCCTGGGCACCTGTCCCCTGGCGGGCACAGCACTCCGTGGAGGGGGAGCTGGAGCCGAAGGAGGGTTGTCTCGGGGGCTGTAAGACCCACTGAGGGGAGGCCCTGCCCAGGGCCCAGGCCCCGTTGTCAGCGCTCTCCAGAATCACTTGACCCTGGCAACAACAGGTGACGGTGACCTGTTGTTCCCGAACTGGGCTCCTCAATTCCCAACCCCATCCACCTGGAGGCTGAATTCCAGCTCAGTCCTCCCCAACCAGCCTACACCCCCCCCACACACCCCCACCCCCGCCTGCCCAGCCTTCGGGCCTCCACCCAACCCTTCCCACAGCCCCAGTCTTCCTACAAGCCTTTGCTTCCTCACACCCTGAACCAAAGCCTCCGCAGGTCGTCAGCTGACCTTGGACACCCTGCGCCAGCCCTCCCCTGAGCTGCGCCCTCAGCTCCCCAGCTCAGCCACCTGGCCCCTGGCACACGCATGGCCCCCAGCTTCTCCGCGGCCTCCGGATTCCACCTTGTATACACCCACATGCCCTCGCCACGTCTGATCCCCAGAGCAGCCTGACACGTCTGGGTAGGACTTAAATTAGGGCAGATTCCTCGCGGCTCCCACCAACTCAGGGTAAGACCTGAAGCCCTCCCCGTGGCCGTGGCCGGCAGGGCCTCCTGTTGCCCCCGGTCCCACCCCTCCCCGTCCTCCTCTCCAGCCACTTGAGCCCCCTGTTCCTCCAACTTCAGGCCCTGCGCGGGCCCCTGCCTGCTGGCATGCTTCTCACGGTCAAGGCCTGGCCTCCCTCAACACTCTGCTCAGAGGTCACCTTCTCAATAAGCAGCCTATCTGACAATGTGGCTATGTCCCATTTCCCCATTCCCTGTGCACACTGGCTATTGGCTTTCACTTTTTTATAGCTTTTATCATCGTTCATTACCTGTCTACCCCGTCCCACAGGAGCCCTGCAAGCACAAGACGCTCCACGCGCCTCCCCTCCTGATGCAGCTCCAGAGCCTCAAATTGCATTGAGCAGGGGATTGAACCCAGGGCACTTTACCACTGAGTTACATCCCCAGCCCTTTTTATTTATATGTTGGGGATTGAACCCAGGGCTCTGTGCATAGGAGCAAGCACTTTACCAACTGAGTTATATCCCCAGCCTCCTTTTTATTTCTTATTTTGAGACAGGGTCTTGCCAAGTTGCCCCAGGCTTGCCTTGAACTTGTGATCCTCCTGCCTCAGCCTCTGGAGTAGCTGGAATTACAGGCATGCCCCACTGCGCCCAGCCTCAGAACAATTTTGTTTAATAAATCATCCCTAGTTTTGTAGATGAGGACATTAAAGCTCAGAGACATTGTGTAATTTGCTCAGGGAAGCACAGCTCATAAGGGGCAGATTTGGGATTCAGAGTACACAGTTGGTGTCACACTATACTGTCCCTTGATTTGAAAGTCTAAAAACATATCCAGATATTTTCTGTCAGGTGGAACAGAGTCAACAGTGTGAACTGTTTGTTGTTGTTGGGTCTTTTTTTTTTTTTGGTTTATTTGTTTTGTTTTTTGGTACTGAGGAAAGAAAGAGAGAGATGTGAGGACATTGCATATGCACAAAATTTCTTTTTTTTTTAAGAGACAGAGAATTTTTTAATATCTATTTTTTAGTTTTTCGGTGGACACAACATCTTTATTTATTTTTATGTGGTGCTGAGGATCGAACCCAGCGCCCCGCGCATGCCAGGCGAGCATGCTACCGCTTGAGCCACATCCCCAGCCCGCACAAAATTTCTATTGATCTTTTATTTATTTAGATGCTGGGAATTGAACACAGGGCCTCATGCATGCTAGGTAAATGCTCTACCACTCAACTACACCCCTAGCCCTTCACCCTTTTGCTTTTTTGTTAATATAAGGATTTTTTAGTTATAGATGGATAATTTTCTTTTTTTCTTTTCTTTTTCTTTTCTTTTCTTTCTTTCTTTCTTTTTTTTTCCCCCAGTGCTGAGGATTGAGCCCAGGGGCACTTAACCACTGAGCCACATCCCCAGCCCTATTTTGTATTTTATTAGAGACAGGGTCTCACTGAGTTGCTTAGCACCTCACTTTTGCTGAGGCTGACTTTGAACTCCGATCCTCCTGCCTCAGCCTCCTGAGCCACTGGGATTACAGGCCTGCGCCACCATGCCCAGCCCATTTTTCATTTTGAATCTTGTGAGTGTTTTTTCTTTTAAAATAATTAACTTAAAAAATTTAAATAATACAAATAATTAAATACATTTAATACATGAGGGAGAAGAGATAAATCTTCCTAGTAAAAGTGTTCCAATTAATAAATGTAGAATTTAGAGAAATAGGAAAATCATCATTAGAAAACCATTCTACCAAGAAATGACAAAATAAATAGGTAATACTTTAGGGTGAAATGATATATTTGCATAGCCTCAAAGTATTAAGTATTGAATCCTCAGTACAAAAAAAATAACAATAGTAAAAAATTTTGTGTGTGTGTGCGTGGTTTTGTTTTGTTTTTGATACAGAGAATTGAACCCAGAAGTGCTTTCCCACTGAGCCACATCCCTCAACCTGTTTTAATTTTTATTTTGAGACAGGGTCTTGCAAAATTGCTTTGGGCCTTCTAAATTGCTGAGGCTGGCCTCAAACTTACAATCCTCCTGCCTCAGCCTCCTGAGCTATAGGAATCACAGGCCTGTGCCACCACCCTCAGCTAATAATAGTAAAAGTTTAAAATGCAATTGCTCTGCTCATGGCCGAATAGCAGAGGGATCAAGAGTATCCCCCACCAAAATGTGGAAAAAATAAAGAATGGACCAAAAACAAATGAACCCCAAAATGGCTTCCCAGAGACAGTTTCCAGAATGTGGCATGCATTTCAATCCCCTCTGTCAGTACTCGATGGAACAAATAGGCAGAAAATCATGAAGGACGTGGAAGATTCCATCAATGCTGTCGATCACTCTGCCCTAAGTGACTTCTCTAAGAGAGATCACTCAACAACAGCAGGATGCACAAGGCCTTGGTGGGTCGTCCTGGAGACCTGGGGAAGACAGAGGGCGCGGCTGTCTCAGGGCGCCCTCTGGTGTCCTCGGAAGTGGTTGCAGCTGGGCGGTCTGGAAGCCTCATCCGCCTGCGAGAAGCTGTTCCCTGGGGCCATGGGGGCTCCCTCTCCTCTCTAAGGTGGGGGAGATCTGAGAGAGGCAGAGTCAGCCAGTGGGGTTCACCTTCTGCCCCACTTCTCTTTTATCCAAGAGCCTGAACCCCCACAGCACCTGGAGGCTGCCCTCCCTCCTGCATACCCTCCCCGGTCCCTGCTGACCCAGAGAGAGCCTGGCACCTCACCCCAACTGCAGCACAGAAGGGGTGAGCTGGGGCCACTGCCTGGCCTCCCGCAGGGCGTGCTGAGGGCCCCAGGGCGAGAGAGACAAAGCAGCATTCACCAGAGGAGGAAGGTGTCCTGGGAGGTGG